AAGTGACGTGTCCTCTGCTCTCCACGTGTTCCGCGGACTGGGAATGAAGCCACATCACTTCTAACACAAGCCCAAAGTGACACCTGTTCAGCACAGGCGCCACAGAGGGACTCTCAGAGCCAGTCCCTTGCAGCTATGCAATCAAAGATCAGTTTTCAATGAAATATTACTTACTTGAATCAATCTTGTCTTGATTCTTCGTGAAGGGTGCAGAAGGCATAAAATGCAATATTGATTTCTGAGATGTAGCCTCGTCCTCTCTTCATGGCCATTTCAAAAAAATGCAAAGTATTTCTTTTCTTTCACACCACAGATCACGTCATCTTTACAAACTGGAGGTCAAGGCCCTTTTATGTTGCCTCATATTTATCTCCTGTCCTTTTTTTTTCCTGTCCTCCTCTCTTCATCTCGCAGTTTTTCTTTCTCCTCCTTCAGTTTTTATTGCCTCTTCGGCTCTCCTCTTAGCTCCTGTTCTAATTTCTGCCTTTTCCCCTGCTCTCCTGAGTGCTTTTAGATTCTGATCTAATTTCTCATGTCTTCTCCCAGTGCTGCTCTCTCTCCTTTCAATCTTTCTGACCCTCACCTGTTCTCCTTTCTGCATCTCTGACTCCAACTCCGCTGCTTCCCTTACGAGGCTCTAGCTCTGGATTTTCCTCCTTGTAATTTCCCACATTGCTCTTGGGCTGTTTTTAGCAGTCATTTCAATAAAGTTTTCCCTGCAGTACACACAAATACAATGTCCCAGCCTCTCGTAATAATACATCTTTTTTTCTAGGTTGCCTCCCATTTCCACTATTAGCGTGTATATCTTTTTAATGAAACAAGCAGGAGCAAGGCTTCCAAAATCTGTAGTCTGTTGCTGAAGCCTCTCGTGATAGACAAGGGTTACTTCTTTTTTTTTCCTGAACCCACTGTGAATTAAAGTCTACCCCACTGGTTTGGTTTAATTAATTTAGGAGCTAGAGAAGGGTCCAGATCAGAAATCATGATGGCAAAACTGTCTCTCAGTAGCCAATGGCATGCAGAAGGGAAGAATTAATATATTTTGCAGTTATATTTTGAAGCAGCAATTTTACATAGGAAAACTACCATTTCCTGCATACGCCACTGGCTAGGTCTCCAAAATGAATATTTTAACTGTGAAAAGTGCCATGGAGGCTTGAGCAACAGTTAACAGGGGCTGTGTGTGAAACAGACTCTAACGCTAGCGCTTCCCTGATGCTCTGCATGGGTCTCAGAGGAAGGCACATTATATCCTGAGTATCCCAATGATGTTTCTAAGCAGCTCATCTGTTTTGCCAAGATTTGCAAACAATTCTTGCTTGGTTTGTGAGAGCTGAAAAGATTGCAGTGCATAATGGCACCTACAGATTTTTTGGCTGTTATGTTGTCTGTCATCCCACACCCTTTGAGCTGACCGTATATATGGTAACAACTTGATACCATAATTGGATGGACCCAACGCTTAGATTTAGGTCTATGCTACAAATGTTTGTGGTTGCAAGCCTGAAATTCTCTTTCAATTACTTTGTGTTTTATTTACTTAAAACATACCCTGAAAATACTTACCAGCAAAGTCATTCATTAAGGTCAGCATAAAGAAGACACGTATGTGCTGTCAACATTATTATTTCCAGATTAGAAAATAAGCAAATAAGAAATGGCAACATCTCATGTACTGTTTTATATATAGTTATAGATATTTACATAGAGGTCCCTTAAAAATTATATTAACTAATTTTCATTTCATCCCTGTTTAAATTCAAGGATCCTATTTATATCCCTTTGACACCAGCTCCATCCAGCATGGTCCAAGGAGTTCTGACATCTCTATTTTGTATTCTGATTCCCTCTTGGTTCTGATAGCAGAAAGCAGTATTTTCTACCAGTGTACAGGGAAAAACACCATTACCTTTGTGCTATTCAGGTGTAGTTAAGACTGTGGACATGAGTCTTCTGTGCGGAGAAAAAGTCCTCAGGCAGAGAGTAATCCAGGGTACCCTCATTGGAGAATCTGATCCAAAGCCAGTTAAAAGTGCCATCTAGGGTCCGATTACTTTCAGCTTGGCTTTGACCCAGGAACATGCCCTTCTTCTGAACAGGAAATCAAATTTTGGAAACAAACAAGAAAAGGATGACAAACGGTTATAGCCTGTGCTAATTTCCATTTCATGCAAGTGCTGTGGAAATCAATAGAGCAGCCCCTAATCTCGGTGGCAAAACTTCAAATCTCACACAGCTCTCCTGAAGTTATCTGGGTTTAGAGCAACGTGGCCTGGTGATTTGGTTTATTTTTTTGTTTTATTAAGTCACAGCAGTGTTTAGCCCAAATTAGTATATCCTGCAAGATGAAATGTGAAACTATGGCACAACACACACTTCTCTTTCAAAGCTAAGTTTGGAAGAACTTAAGAACTTTGAACACTTTAAAGCTATTAAGTGGTCAGCTTTTGAGTTATATATGCCTCAGTACTGACGCTGATCTCATAGGAATGCAAGTCTTTACTACAAGTCCTGTGCTAAGGCTTTCCCCCTGTTCTCCCATGATGTGCATGCCCAGTGTATGATTTCTTGTGATAGGCTAGGTAGGAATTCACCCAGCCCTGTGTCACTGAACTGGAAGTTGTCTTCAGGAGGGTTCTGCTGAAAGCAATGTCACTTTTCAAAGAGTCTTTTCTGGAAAATACTTTATTTCACTATAAATGCCTTGAAGGCAGAATTTAAATTCAGTAGAATCTAGTACAACATGTCATTTTATATTCCAGCAGGCAGAGGTAACATAGTTCAGTGAAAGCACACGTTCTTTCCAACATGCAGCTTAGCTGAAATGGTGTGTACGTTTTATGCATTTTCTCTTTGGTTTTGTCTTTAAAAGATTTTTTCAATTTACAAGCTTTAATTTTTCATTAATTTAACCACTTTTGCCGAATGAAATTTGCTGCAAGTGTATTCCTAACTGAGTCAGAGCCAATTGAATGGCTCGGGAAAATAGTTTTGGAGCTTTTGCTATTTGGGATAATTGGTGGGATTAGTCATTAATATCAGCTTGATAATAATGTGTATCTTAGACACCTGGAGTTATTTCTCTACTATGGTAGGTTACCTGAGATTTCTGAAACTAATACATACCTGTAGACACCTTCAATTTAAGATAACATTGAAAATTAGTCCAAGTCACAGGTACAAGTATGCCTGAATCAGATGGTTCCTACGTGTTTAGTCAAAATAAATCCCTGGGCCTGTACAAACTCAGACTAAAAGAAGTCTGGCGATAGGCCGTACATAAATACTTTATAGAGTGTTGTGTACACTAATTAATAAATACAATTTTCTAAGAGCTTTCTGAACCTTGAATAAATATTGCTTAAACAAACGGATGCAAATTATTAATAGAAACTGTAATCTCCCTCTCTGTCTATTATTCTTATTTGGCCCTAACTACTTTGATAGCAGAAGATTGGAAGAATAAAACAGGTTAGCTTTGCCAATAGGAAAATAAAGTGTTCGAAGCACCAAGGAAATAATTTCAAGACTGAAGCCCTGTACAAATCAAAGGATAACAAATCTTCCAGTGCCCAAACCTTGTTGTTTAACTTCTAATGGTAAAATCTGTGCCTCCCACTGTTAGATATTCTTGCGTGACTGCATTGTTTTATGTATGCGAACCAACCTTGCAATATAAGGTGACAAACAAAAAAGATGGAAAAATATATAAAATGGAAGAAGAAAAAAAAAGGTCTACTCGCCACCTCAGGCTTTAAAACTCTTCTTACACACTTCAGCATAAAGTCTATTAAAGCGGAATATAGTGGAAATACAATATACAGCAATGAATGTCTCCAAACCAGCAATTTAGCGCTAAAGCTGAGGGCAGTTCTTATGCACCGACTTTTAATACCGAGACGATTTGTGGTCTCACAAAGTTCCTGCCTTGGGCAAGAATTGTGCTGTGCTCTAATAGGTCTAGTTTGTTGACTGTCAGAATAATGGAGAAATTGGTAGCAGAGGGCCTGAGTGCTGTAAACAGCTGAGATAATTAGAAGGTCTGTCAGGAGGAGAATAAGGCTAAAGTAGTTTACGTTCTGTCACCGGGCGGAAAGTATTCATTCAGGAGGCTGCTGGAATAATGCAGGATATGTTGTGTTATGTCCTAGCAAGCTTGTCTGGAGGTGGGGAAAGAGTGTTTCTCATCTACTTAGTCAGCTTCCTCCACTGTCTTTCCCACTGCAGCTTTGCAAGAGTTTATATTTCTTATTAATAAAATAATATGACTCGCTAGCAAAATGCTGACTTGCTTTTCTTAAGCCAAGCTGCTGGGTTAATAGCAAGCTTAGACTCAAACTGGGCAGCGCAGTAGGGCTGAGGAAACTGCAAAGGCTGAAGAAAGAAGTGCCTTTTCCCAAGCAAAAAAAGGAATGCCACCACCCTATCAGAGGATGCTCCTGTGTTGATGGAGCAGTGCTCCAGAAGCTGTTAACATGAGAAGTCTGGTGCCTTAGCCAAGAAACTAGACAGCAGGGAGTCAAGCAATCTAGAAATTGCTGTGACTAAGCCATTTCTAGGCAACAACATGCCTTGGGATGAAGTAAGCCAAAATTTTCAAGGCTGATTTGTGGTTTTGTGTCTTAGTTTAGGGTCTGACTCCTGGAAAAATGGAGGGTAGCTGTCTTCTGCATAGAAAGACTTGAATGAGTTCAGAAACTGGGCAAAGAGATGACTGCTTGAAATGGCTGCTAGTTCAACAAACACAGAAATAGCGTGAGTTCAGGGATTGGTAGGCTGTGAAGTTGTGCTAAGATTAAGATATGTTAATGCTTAATAACAAGCAAATATTAATAAGTTTTGAGTTATAGAGAAATGGGGGGGGGGGGAGAGGTGGAACAGGCTTGTGGCCAAGAGACCTTTGTCCTTTTTTACCTTAAGAAGAGTCACACATTAACTTTGCTCCCATGGGAGGCTCTGTACCTCACACCAAAGTAGTTTGGAGATCTGTAGGTGTTAGATGATTTTCAAGTTGTTGTTTATAGATGCTGCCACTGATTTCATCTCACAGGGTTGGACTGTGGAAAACATTCTTGCATGCTGTTTTTATTTAATGTGAATCTCTCCGAGGATTACCCACATTTTCCTGGATCTGTGGAAAAAGAGAGGCTAGACACTCAGGCTAGGACTGGATACTTTTAAAACTTGGATAGTTCAAAACCACCTCAGCAAGGAATATTAAAAGGACCTAATCCCACTCAAATATTTAGGCCTTTTTCTCATGCAACATCCAGATCCCTCCTACCCCACTGCATTTTAACATAAGGGGCAGATCCTTGCCATCAGTTTCTGCCCCTGCTTCCCATAGTCCTTTTGAGCACCTGAATAGCTGTTGCTTTAATAATTCGGTTGTCTTTTTGACAGGACCAGAGGAGTCTTTTTTAAGCTCCTGCAGCACTGTGCAACAGCAGGCAGCAGACAGTGCATGATTGCACTGGGACTTAAGAGCAAACTCCAGCTCACTGTCAATGGCTGTGTGCCAGACAGCTCAGCCTGCAGAGAGCAAAACCTTTCAAAAGGCTGAGCATTTAAAAGGGAGACTGTCAACATCCCTCTGAACACTTAGTGGGGGGATCATCACAGAAAAAGGGAGCATGTCTGAAAATTGAGGTGTAGAGGGACAAGCTGCGCAAAACGGCTAATTATCTTCCTATTCCCCTCGCATGCCTATTAAAGACCACCAAAAATAGCATCTACTTAAGGATAGGGATTTTTTTCTTTTCCACACGTTAAGTTAAATGGGCATCCTACCTGTCATTTGGTGAGGTTGAATTGCTAATGGAAGATGGAGCTGGCCAGAAGCCACCTCCTGACAGAAAGAGGCAGGTCTGAACAGCAAAGTTTGGATCAAGATCTGAACTTTTCTCACATCCGAATATGCTTGGATCCAGGACGTTGGCTGACACCCATCTCTGCTACATCTATTCTGTGATTATGTGTGAATGGCCCTATTGCTTCTCACTACACTCCATGTAATCAATTCCATTTGGGCATCATTCTGCAAGAAAATCTGTTGTCATGATGGCAAATGTGTGATGCTTTGCTGGATGAAGATTTGCTCTTAGCCCTCACAATACATCAGTTTTCACCTGGAAACATACTAGTTGGGCTTTACTGATGACAACTTCCATATTTACAGTTCTCATTATTAAGTCAACTTTAACTCCAGGTTTAAATGAGGCATCCTTTCCCAAACTGGTATCAAGATACTATACACTTGACAGCCTGTGTGCCTGTGCAGCAGGCCTGATTCTGACTCTTCCTTCCTTCACATCTGGTTTATGCCTGTGCAATCCCATTGACTTCAGTGGAATTGTTTCTGATCAGAATTTGATGAATACCATATTTTCCTATGTATCACCCAGGGATTATCTATAAAAACCATGATTCGTCAGCAGTGTAGTTTATACACATATGTAAGTAATGCAAGGGGAAGTTTACTCTGGGGCCCCCTCTTTCCCAGTAGCCCCATTGCCTCTAATTCCTCTCCTATTTATTTCCTTCACCCCCCAAAATTATCCCCCTGCTTCAGATTCCTCCCTGGTTTGGGTTCTGCCCTGTTCTCTCTGCCTCTGATTCTGAGTGGTTTGTGAGAAACCATCTAGGGGTGTATTTGCAAGAGCCAGTGTTTTTAAAAGAATACCCAATATATGCAAAGAATGAAGCTAACTTTTTTTCCCTTCTCTTTTCTCTTTGAAAAGTAGAAGAAAAAGAAATTGGCTGGGTCAGCCTGAAGGGAAATTTCAGTTTTCCGACTGAAATTAAATCTGGAGGGAAAAGAAAAAGCAGAAAAAAAAAAAAAAAAAAGACAAGACTTGCATTACATGAAACATTTCATTTAGTTGACAGGTATTCTTTTTTTAAAACTTTTAAAATGTAATTAAGTTTAGCTAAATTTGTTCTAAAAATGTCCTTCTGCAATAAAAAAATGAAATTATTTGTTTCAAGAACATTACCAAAACATTCTGACTTTTTCTTTCCATGCCTCCCAATAAGTTATTCCTGGAGTTGAGCACATATTCTCTGAATATGTTTCTCAGAAAAAATAATGCCTTTAAAATCTACTCTTGATTAACATGAGGAAAGAGGTGAATCAGAACCTATATATTTGAAGAATCATTTACTCACCCATAAGGTGGGAAAAATGAACAGAGGTGAAGGCCAGTAAAATCAGTAATAATTTTTGGCACATAATCTCTTTTTTGGAAGTCACGTACACAGCTGTGTGATGAACTACAGATAATGTCATGTATCTAACCCAAAGTCATACAGCAAGTCACTGGCAGAACCAGGAGTACAAGAGTACTATGCTTTGTTCCTTGCAATGTGTAGTAACGACTTGAAAATGGCTGTTTTATAGCAATATGTGCATGCATTCTATAACCAAAAGTGTCTTTTCACTTTGCATTGTGATCTTTCCAATTTTCTTTGAAGTGAAGGCTGTGTGTAGCAATCATGGTTGGATGTCCTCTGTTGAACTTCCACCAGAAATGTGGTCTCATTTCTTAAGAGAAGTATCCAGTTACTTTTGGCCTCACGTACACTTCAGTTACTGTCAGAAGAAAAATGCAACAAATAGTGCTATGTAAAGAAAACAAAATGATTATCCTACAACCTAATAAGCAGTTTCAAAGGGCAAATTACTTGCACCCTCTGTAATTTTTTGCCATTAGATAATTAACATCAGAAGTATTAATGATCATTTTAACAAATTACCAGATAATTATAATGGGTTTCTTCATTTAGTCATATATATTGTACAAACCATTCTAAGACCTGCCTATTAATTGAATATCATAGAAACATTATTTATTGTCTTAGCTAAGTAGCAACCCACACTGGTAACTAAACCTATTAAACAACTGTTGTACTGATTGTAATCAGTTGTTAATCTCTCGACACCAGAGCAATTCTTAGTGGACACAAGCGTCACTGACCAAACTCAAATTAAGGATCAAGGCAAAAACCATAACGGGTAACAATATTCACTGGGATCACAGACCTAGAAATGTCACATCTCTGACTCGTGTTAACTTCAGCCAGAATGAAAGCTAAAGAGTGGAACAAATGCACTTAAGAGTTTACAGGGCCAGCACATGCTGGTGGCAATGCTGCTTCTTAGATTAATTAATTTCATAACATTTCCATAATACAGTTTTACTTAGTGTACTTTTCATAATCTAATTTTAGTTGAATTGCTTTGCACAATCTGCTCAAAATGTGTTTACGATTCAGAATTGTTAGAGTCCCCTTTTCATTTTGTGCTCAGCTGCCTTTGTAAAATCTGCAACAGGGAATAAAATTGGTGAAATAAATTAAGAGAATGCTGCCAAAACTATTTTTCTTACTATCCTAGCATTCAAACCAATTCACTTGGGCCAGGTTTGCAGCACTTCCCATGAATCCTCTGCTAGAGGTTTGTGCACAGGAGGATGGCTGGAAGAGTGAACTTCAGGAGTACACCACAGATTTTTCTGTGGGAAGAGGATTTTGGATGGGGGGGCAGGAAAGCTGATTCCAAATTACCCATTTCCAATTTGGGAACAGATATGGCCCATGTGACCTAAGCATCTTGTCAAGACAGCTTGAATTTGAAGTTGTGAATATGCATGTGGATGAGCTACAGACCCAAAAGGATTCATGGAATGATATGGTACATCTATCTGAATAGACTGAAATTCACCCTTGAGCAAGAGGCCAGGAGAAAGCTCTCAAAACTTGGCTCATGTGAGACACAAGTCCCATTTGTAGCTTTACTATAAACTCCCTTGGACAATATCAGTTGTACATACAACATATACACCTGAAAAAATTCATGATCCCCTTCTGACAATTCATGAGGAGGGAAATGATTTGGAATAAATTATTCATTACAGAACTACTCAGCTTTGGCAAAAAAAAATGTGCAGGTTAAGGGAGAAAGGGAGCTGTTGTAGCTGCAATGGTGTGCTGCAGCCATTTTCAACTCTGGATGCTTTAGCTTCGTGACCAGTTGATAATATCCTGCCATTTTCTTAATTTCTGTGCCTTTTGTGGGTTCCTGCAGGATTCTTCCTCTTGAGAAACCCTGCCCTTCACAGGACTCAGGATCCAGAGGGACAAAACAGGGTTACTGCTCTTTAAAATATGTGTTTCCTTTCCTATGAAAGATTGTAGTTCTAGCTTGGGTTCCTTCACACCTTGATAATCCCTTGTACTAATGCAGTTTTCTGCTCAAGGTCCATCATACCTGCAGTGCTGCTCTTCTGGATGTAGCAAAAGCAGAGAAAAATGAGCATCTAATGGCTTTTCAATGGGACCTCTGAAATAATTAAAAAGAAAGTATAAAATTTAGGAGCAGCTCTCATGCTGGTTGGATAAAAGACTTAACTACCTCCCATGCTTACATTTAATAATGCTGTAGGGATCTGAGTGGTGGAGCTCAAGGCTGAATACATCAGCATGAAGCCTGAAGAGCAAGATCCTTGTCCCACTAAGATCTGTGGTGCAACTTACATCCTCCAGGCAGGGTAAGCTGGCACACCAAATATCACTGGCCATTCATTTTCATGGACATAGGACTTTTTTAATTAAAAAGAATGATTTTTTTCCCTGCTACTGCCATTTCCAGCTGCCTGAACAGCTATGATGGCACCTTACGAAGTTGCCATTACATTAGTGATATTAGTATTAATCACACGTTGCTTGATACTGTAATTGAATGGTTTTTACGCAGATGATATTAACTGATAAAATATGGCATCCTCATGAGAAAACATTACCTTGAAATATTAGCGTTATAATATGTTAATTTCTATGGAGGATATGAGTACAGATATATGAGGAGATGTAAATTTCCCAGCACTTCTGCTGACAATTTCCATGTCAACATAATTCTTAGGAATTCATACTCACTATTTTGTGATGACTTATATGGTGATGTATAACAACTTAAGGGGTTTTTAAAATGCAGTATTTTGACTAATGCAGTTTTGTAAATAGCATGCAGGACTGTTTCTTCCTTTCATTTCTGGGAAGGCTGACGCAAGCTCTTGGTATCACCAGGAAGTCACCGACCTGAATGTCGAATTCTAAAGTGAGCGCTCAGACATATCTGTATACATTGCAGCTGCGTGTTAGCGGTGGGAGGGAAGGTTCCCTTCCTCAGTATTACAAACTGAGGCTAGTACATTAAAAAAAAAAGGAGAAAAAGGATAAGTGGTTAAAGGGAAGTTCTACACGTCTTGCAAAGCTGTTGGAAACTGAATTTCAGTCTGAAATTCATGACTAGTAAGACGTAGTCCAGACAATTTATATCATCTGTAGACTTAATTCTGATCCATCTTATGTTTTCTTTTTGCTGCAGAGTCCCCAGGAAAAGTTGAGTCTGACTGCATACTTATTAGGATATATTGAAATGAACTGTGTCAGGGCCCACACTCACCCTCAGCTCCTGGATGGAAAACGCAAGGTCCACAGCATGCTGCCTCATTTCTTGCTCTTATTTTGCTGTTGAGTAACTTACACCAACACAACTCCGCTGGCCTTGCTGGCTCCTGACTTAATGCTGATGCTCTCCATGATTCCCTTGAGAAACAAACTGGAATAACAAGATGAGAGCCTTGTTGAGGGGCACCCCGAAGACAGGCAAGATGACAACAGTTGGGGTTCTTGCATCCAGAAAAAGGCAGCTAACCTGGCCTCCTCTCTCTTGAGCTAATCTGAATTAATTGGTGCTATTTGTGCCTTTGATACTCAAATGCAGAGCCCGGGGGTGGGAGTTCTCATGAAACAAGTGGCCACTTGGGAGAGCAGTCCCAGGTCCAATCATGTCATGGGCTCATTTGTCTCCCACAGTAATTCACTACTCACTTCAGTCACTTTAAATGTAAAACAGCTGCTGCTGCTTAGCCCTCTTTTAAGGTACCTAACTAGCAGCTTTAAACCAATCCTGAATGGGTCCCATCCCATAATAGTCTCTCACACAGTGGTCATTTGGAAACAATTAACCCTTGATTCAAGATCCTCTTAAAGAATCCTTTTCCAGGCCTTCCTGTACTCTGCCACAGCCTGTTGCATTGTTGCCTCTTGGACGGGAATAGCTTTATCCTTTAGGATTCATTGGCCTTTGCAGCAGTAACCACCTATATGGTGCTTTGAGGGGGGGGGGCATAACATAATTTCCAGGGTTATTGTATGGCGTTTCCTTTCCCCTCCTTCATCTGCACTGAAAAAAAATTAAGATACCAAATCAAACAGAGTGGTGTTTTATTAAAAAACAAAAATATAGTTTCCTCTCTTCCCTTTTCCCCCCATAGTACCCGGGGGTCTTGTTCATTTTGCACGTTTGGCACCACTGTTACCCCTTGCCTCGCTCGGTCCCTAGTGATACAGTGAACTGGAGATTAATCTGTTTTAAGGAGAAGCATCTGGCTTCAAGCTAATAAAATATCAATTTGTAACAGGGAGGAAAAGGCTCAGCAAGAGGTCTGCATGCTTAGGGCTTTGAGACCCAATTTGACTTGGGAGTTTAATGCCACTTGTGAATTTTCAGCACTTCAAAACCTTTCTCCATGCGGCGGTCTCAGCTTTCTCTGAAAGCCTTGTATTTTCAGACTGGTGGCTGTTGTTGGGGGTATCTCCCAGCTCCGAATCTCCCTTCCTAAGCACCCCATACCTTTCCCTTTTCCTAATGGCTCCGTGGCCAGATGTGGTGGCCCCTTGCTGGGATGTTAAACTGGCAACACCCTTGATCCAGGCAGACAGACGCTCAATAGCCAACTTCGGGAAAAGCTCCCCCCCGCACTGGCCGGCTCTGACACAAACCAGCTGAAGACATTGCAATGCCAGAAAGTGTTACAGCTGGGCTGCCTGACAGATTGGCAGCACACACGCTGATTTGGGGACCATATTTGGGGGCCTGCAAAGTACTCACTGTCCAGGCACCGAGCCACTAATCACAGTTTACATTAGGCAATCAGATACTTTTCAACTACTGAATGATCTGCTCTTTACCACCCCCCCCCTTTTCACCTTACAGGACCCTGTGTGTATATACAGTACCTCTGTGCTTCACATCTGCACCATGTTTTAAGCCGTATCTAATGCACAGCTACTCATGTCAGCTGGGCCAGCGACAAGGAGGCCAAATCACTGCTGATCTGATTCCTCCTCCACTCCCCCAGCCTGATTTTTGTCTGTTCCAGTGCTGAACCACTTTATTTTAACCTGGGGGGTTATCTAGTTATGGAAAAATCCTATAGGACTTTGTACAAAAAGAAAGGCTTTGTGTCACGCTATAGGAGTCTGTTAGCCCATAGAATCCTGAGTGGTTTTAAATACAACTCCAGAGATCAGATCTTCAGTGAAAACAATAGATTTGAGAGTAATTTCTCTGGCATGCTGGTAGCTTAATCACTTTTACATAGAAGTGTTTCATTAAGAATGAATCTATGTCATTCCCATATGCCAAGTCTGATTTCTGCATTGGCCCAGCCACGATGCTGTAGATATATGTTTGCGCAAGATAAGTGTGCCATGGATGGATGTCTAATGAATATGGCCTCATTTACAATGAGAAGGACTTAGACCTGGCTACGACCCAGAGTTTCTATTCCAAAGAAATGCTGACATTTTGGAAAACCTGGGTCTCTGTCAGAATGAATAGCTGAGATTTTTGTATTTTCCAAGCCAAAAAAGGTGCTCTGAAAAATGTGTACTGTATTAAAACATTAAATAGCAGTTAGGTGCCAATTTAAGAAATATATATAAACACAGAACATGAAAACTCGTATTTTAATATAAACATTGAACTGAAATTAACAGAAATGTTTTGATGTTGGTGAAACGAGATATCATAACTTCTTCTCACCAATGTTTTTTGCCACAGCTGATCCATTCCTATGAAAATGTTTTGATTTTAACAAAACTGTATGGTTTCCACTGAATAATTATTTTGTAAAGAAACCAAACCAAAGGCAAGAGGTCCCCTGACTTGTCCCACTGAAGAGGAAGTTATCACAGTTGATCTAAATGAACTTTTAACTCATGTTTGCTTGCAGAGAGTCAATTCCTGAGGTTCAAGAAGAGCAAGAAGGATGCTCTAATGTTTTAACAAATGTTAAACTGTACTTTTTGGAGTTAATATTATCCTCTTCCCCTTTTTTTTTCTCAGTCATCTCAACCAAATATCACTTTGCCAATTATGGCTCAATTTCCCTACCAAAGAAGTGGGAATACTGCTGTTTACTCACCTATCTTCAGGTCTTTGCTTAGGTAAAGCACTCATAAGCACCAATGAACCTTATTATATGTAAACACTGCTGAGGTGAAGAAATGGGCACCCATACTGTTGTGCTGATACAAGAAAGCAAAAAGGGTTTTTTTGGGCCAGTTTGTAGCTTCAGAGGTCTGAAGCAGAGCTGAAGTTTTCTGTTTATTCCCTTCCCTGGTGAACCTGGGATGCAACAACCGACAACCAACAACCAACCCTGATGTCAAATTATGAGCTTTGTGAGAGGAAAAGGACGTCGATTAGGTAAATATAGCGTGCAACTCTGGCAAGGCAGTGCGTGCACGCACAAACACTTAGAGTCTGAGCGAGAACAGAGTGGACTTGAGAAATGTGTTACGCATTCAGGCAGCTTCAATGTGCCACTAATAAAATTAAGTGTTGGAACATAAATGTTTTAATTTTAGTGCGAATGCTCCAAGCAATACCCCCTCCTGCACCTTTCTTTCCCACCCCCAGCCTAGACTAATCCATTTAGAGACAAATTTACATTTTATTTCTCCAAACCCTATTAGCATTAATATAAAGGTCAGCACTGAAAAGGCAGCTTCAGAAGCTAATGTGCCAGTGTGCTGTGCTCTGTGACCAGATGAGGGCACGTGGGTCTCTCACCCACCGAGTCTGACAAGAATCTGTAATTTAAGAGGGCGGTCCTCCTCTCCAAACATCCCCATAGCTCATGGAGATGATCAGGTCACTCTATGGAAACCAAATGGGACTTATCTACTTGATATCAGGAGGAAGAGAGGGGGAGAAAAATCGCTCTGTGAAAAGCCCTTGGTGCCATGGAAAAGCTATTGTAAATATTTATGGGCTTTTTGGGGAAAAGCCACTCCATTAGCTCCAATAGTGACGTGCCTCTGGTGTCCCTTATTGTAGATTTGATTTACAGGTTAGGTGGGGCGCAAACAAGAGCGGTGCTGGCTGGGAGATTTGGCACCTCTCAGCCCATCGTTGCCTTCTGGTGGAGTCCAAAATCTCCATCAGGAGTATCCCCGCTGCTGAGTGATGATTGCAGAGCCCTGAGGAGAAAATTATTCTGGTTTCAGAAGTGCAAAATGTCTGTACGAGAACTGTATGAGCTTGATGTGGTTTGTGGTTTGGTTCCAACTGAGAACCCTGCCCTGGGAAAAAGCTTAATAACCCAGAGTAATCCCATTGAATGTACTGGGCCTTCTTATGTGTATAAAATTGCTTACGTGCTAATTTTTCAGAGGATCAGAGCCAAGGATCTTGACCATGCATGCTGGACATCCAATTGACTCATGGCTTTGTGTCTAAATCATGTGAATTTCATCTCAAGTTTCAAACAGATGTTTGGTCTGAAATCCTAAGTCTTAAAAAGGAATGAAGTCAGCTTCATCTCCTGGATCAAGATCCTGTGAAATGCCTATTTTTGTATAATCACAAAGCAGACGCCGGGGTAAAGCAGAGTGCTCTAAATTAACGTCATTCCTCCAGGCAAACTGCATCATGCATTACAGTGATTTCCCCCCCCCCCCCCATATATCTTGGGGTCTTCCTCCTACTCCTGCTACTACTACTAATCCAACATTAAAAAAGCCAAACAGTTCTTTTTAAAAACCCCTAAAAATAATAAATCTCAAGCCCCAAAGAAGCTCTCAAGCCACTCTAGGCTGAGCTAATTCGCGAGTAAACTGATAGAGCAGGTGGACATGCCAAATGTCATTAAGTTTGCCAGAGCCCAGCACTGAGGAACACAAAGGTGAGAAGTATATTCCACAACAAATGACCCCTGACCGGGAGCTCCCTGCTACCAGTCCCCCTTGCTTTTAAATTAAACCAATAAGCTTGAGTGTCTAGCTTGTTTCATTTGATTCCACTCCAGGGGAAAAGCAGCCTCTCATTTAAGCTTTTAGAGTTTCCCATGTGAAACCAAGGTGTTGGAGGCTCCTGGAGCTCAACGTGGAGAAGTGAGGTGAGAGATCTGAGCTTGCTTGCTGCTGCTGCCACGTGGCATGGTCAAATTGTTTCACTCTGTGCCTCAGTTTCCTTCTCTTGTAGATGTGCATGCCCGAAAAGCACCTTTAAAAACTGCAGCTGGAAAAAGGTGCAGTGTGTCTTTGGTTGTACATTCACCAGTGTTTCTCTATCTTCCTGCGTTCTCAGGGTTGTGTAAGTGATGCTCATGTGACTTTCTTTTCAACGTGCTCAAACAGAACCCCATAAATAAAGAGCCAATAGAAAAGCCCAGATGTGTCTCCATAGGTGAGGGCTGAAGGAATGCCATAGTTCCCATACCATCACATAGGCAGACATTTGGAAGATTAGGGGCTGCTGAATGCATCGCTGGGGATCAGCACGAAGTTATTTGCAGTTGTTTCTGTAATCATGTTGCTCAGGGAGAAAATTCACAGTATGTCTTGCTGCCTGCCTGCCTCCCAGCC